AATTGTTTGTTATTGTTCTTGTAAATGCGACCCGGAAGTGTTACCCTGCCAGGTGACCTTTCAGAAAATGCCTATGAACGTTTCGTCGGATGTGTAAACAACGTCTGCAAATTACGTTTTATTGAAACTTGCTTATAATCTTCGCACTTGTGCTAACTTGTTGCAGTGTTATTCTGATTATAACATCTTGCAGGTGTGAAATATTGCAATCATAACATTTGCATTTTGTCAGAAGAATGTTAACAATGCGTTACATTATTTTTAACGTGGCCTTGAAACTTTAGCGTTCTATTTTTCGTATGTACTATGTGTACTTTTAAAAAAAACTTGCAGCCCAAAAAGCCGGGCTTATGCGGCTAAATATATGTCTCTGTTGAATCGTTTTAGGAGGAAAAGAAAGATACAACTTTCAGTTGTCTTTCGACTTATTGTTTTAGAAGATGAATTGTGCGACGCAGTATAATATATTTTCTTAGTCCTTCAAAGTGCTGAATAACACATCCATTTGTTTAGTAAATATTTAACAAGGAATGTTAGGGACGTATAGATTGAACTGAGTACTTACTAATTTATAATTCAATCTCCTCTCTCTAAGGCTCAAATTGAATTATTGGCTTCATTAACCATCTCCTTGTTCGGCTCTCCTGTCAACTACTGCCTGTAGACAACAGTTGACGGCCGGTTAGTCGGAGTTCTGTCCCCTGGTTGCAGTGCAATTACGGACTGGAGAAATCATGAATCAAAAAACAAAGTGAGGTCGAAATGCCTGGCAGAACCCGCGCTGCGACTCAAGTTAGCGACCGCGTCCAATTATTGTGTGTTGGCGATAGACAGCGTGCAGTGCCCTATTGTCATCATACGGTTTGGGTTAGGTTTAGGGTTAGAGTGTGGGTTAGGGTTTGGGTTGCTACGTTGAGTTTCTGCGAAGACGAGACGCGGCGACACTATCCGCATCGCTAACCCTAACCCAAACCCTAACCCAAATCGTAACCATATGATTATAGCAGGGCAGTGCACGCTGTCTATCGCCAACACACAGTAATTGTGTCAATTGTTTCATTCCCTCCTTTTCCACTCTGTAATTGCACTGTAGCCAAGGGACAGAACTCCGACTAACCGGCCGTCTACTGTTGTCTACCAGCCGTAGTTGACAGGAGAGCCTCTTGTTCTTTCCATTTCTGCCTCATTTGTCTTGTATTATGAGGATGTGAACAGTATTTATGAATGGGCTCTCCTCCACACTTCTGCCCGATATTATGGCGGCCAAGCAAATAGCCTAACAGGGCCTCAGTCATGTGTAAAATGCGGGCTTTCTGCCAAGGAAAAAATCACGGCAAAACTAGGATTACTTGACAATTTCAAGAGATGCAACACTACAGACTGTAGTGTCAGACGATAATAGTGACCGTTGACAATTTCAGGTGTTTCTGCAGACGATAATAGCGACCATTGAAAATTTCAAGACACGCAACATTACAGACGATAATAGTGACATGGCGGGGAGACCACGCACTCTGACGCAGATCAGCTTCGTTGTTGTCCTCACATTTTTCGGCATGTGCCAAATGCAGTTAAACTCACCGCCGATAGTATCCCCCGCAATGTCTGGGACTCACAAGCAAATAAATTAGAGGAAGTTGCAGTTGATGCGGTAGCTGCTGCTCGTGAGTCCCAGCCATCTAGTTTAGCCCTCCCATCCCCGCCGCGTGTAGCGGCACGGGGGATACTGTCGGCGGTGCGGCATAGTTGTAGAAACAGGTCTACAATTAACATATGCTGAGACCCTGTTAGAGCATTTGTTTCGTTATTCAGAGCTGATCCTAGTTTTGCTGCGATTTTTCCCTTGGCAGAAAGTACGTATTTTACACACAACTGAGACCCTGTTAGGCTATTTGCTTGGCTGCCATAATATCAGGTAGAAATTTGGAGGAGAGCCTATGAATGTCCTATGTGCATAACATAGCTCATACACAGGTTGTCTTCTTCTTCTTTGCGTTCAGTTTCATATGATCGGATCAGACCATCAAGTGGGTTGCCTCTATGAACTCGCATGTCAGTAGCAGGTCCTTCATAGTTTCCCCACAGCTTGCTCAGCACACTTTGCTTTTGAGGCCAGATGTCTTTTCAAAGTCATAGGTAGAGTGGGCAGGTCTGCTCAGGTGTTTGCGGTCCTGTTTGACAGGCACACTGTGGGGACTGCAAAATTTATATTTTATGCATGTGGTAGTTGAGCCTGCAGTGTCCTGTTCGTAGACGGAATATTGTTATATGTTGCTTTCTGTTGAGTCTGCTGATGGGGTCTTGTGAATGTTTACTGTTAGTTTGTTCTCTCCTTGTATTTTTCTTTGATTAGTGTTCTGATTTTTGGTAATGACGATGAATGGGCATGTTGTTTCTCCTTTGTTCCCTTTTTCTGCCAATCTGTCTGCTAACTCATTTACCGGTATGCCACAGTGAGCCAGGATCCACTGGAGTACGATTTGATGATTTCCATAAGTCTGTTTAGCTGGTGGGTCAGTTCTCTCTCCATGTTGTCATGCGGATCTATCTGAGTCACCTGAAGGACTGATATGCAGTCACAGAGGAAAACAATTTTGCCGTTTATAATTTTTCTTTCCTCAAGCACTTTGTCTAAATCAATAATTGCTTCCTGCTCTGCTCTGAAGTTTATTGAGAGTCTTCCTAAGGCTAATGACGTTTCTACTGTGGTCCCATCTTGCAGCATGATTATTGATCCAGCTCCTCCATTTTTCCTGCTCCTTCCAATGACCCATTGATGTATACATGTGTCCATTCGGGTTTTGGATAACAGTTGTAGACATGTTCAAGGGTCTTTAAAGGCAGTACTAGGTCACATTCTTCAGCCTTTCTGTCTATGCCAGGAACTGTTGTTGTGACTGTATAGTTAGGCTGGGGGTCTATGTTGTATGCCTGGAGCATTTCCCATTTTGAAGGATCTTGAGAAAGGATTTCACTGTTTTTGTATGGTACAATTTTGATAGATGGTGAAAGCTTTGTCTTTTCAGTTGGTTTTTGTTATGTTATTTGCTATTCTGTGCATGGGGTTGTTGTTTATGCATTTACATTTGAAGGCTCAAGCTCTGGAGGCCAGAAGTTGCCTCTAGCTCAAGGATTGGTGTGCTTCTCATACCTCCAGTGGTGATTCTGAAACCAGTGTTCTGTATTTTGTCCAGTTTTTGTAAGTTTGATTTGGCTGCAGTGGAGTATGCTCCCATGCCATCAGTTTTGGTCATATGTATCCTGTGTATACTTGTCGCACAGTGTTGGCATCTGTGCCCAGCTTGTTCCAGTAAGTTTCTTCATAAGTCTGAGCCTCAGGTTAGCTTTCCTTTAGGTATCTTCAATGTGGTTTTAGTTGTTCCTACTTGTTCAGCTTGGGTCCAAATGGCCAGGTCATCTGCATGTAGGGTCTTGTGAATGTGAGTCGTGAACTGTTTTGGGAGGTCATTGATGAAATAAATAAACAGGGTAAGAGATATAACACCTCCTTGAGGGACACCTTCTTGTAACCTGACTAGCCTGCTCTTGTGGTCTTCCAATCTGACTCTCGCACAGCATCTGTAAAGAAAGTTTCTAATCCAGGCAAACATATGCCCTTTTATTCCACTGTGTGCTAGCTTTAGCAAGAGTCCTTTCTTGCAGACCTTTTCAAAGGCTTTGGTCAGGTCGAAGAAAGTAGCTAGCAATTTTTTTTTTCTGGAAAGCATTGTAAATTTCCTGTGCAAGATAAGAGGCTTGGTCATCGGTGCTTCTGTATCCCCTGATGCCTGATTGGCTGTTATCCAGTATCTTGTTTTCTTCCAGGAAATTAAGTAACCTGTTGTTCATAAATCTTTCCATGGTCTTTCTGAGGCAACTCAGGAGGTTTACGGGGCAGTAACTGAATTTGTTTTCCTTGGGCTTTCCTTTCTTGTCTATGGGGACTATTTCTGCCTCCTTCCATTTCTTAGAAAGTAGATCCTGGGTCCAGGATTAATTGTTAAGGTCTAGGAGTCATTGCCTACCAGCTGGTCCCAGGTGTACTATCATTTCATTTGTTATTCGATCAGGTCCAGGTGACTTCCTTTTCTTAAGGTATCTTGAATGCGCATTCAAGTTCTTGAGGACTGAAGAATTAATTTATTATATCTTGGTTATTTTCTTGTTTTTTGTTGATTTTCCTCAGTTCTCTCATTACTTCTTCGTCTCTCACTCAAGACATGAAGATTTTGCTTTCTTCTGCAAAACTATCAGCCAGCATGTTTGCTGCATGTTTACCAGTGAAAGTTTTCCCACCATCTTCAATGACAGAAAAGCAAGAGCCTGTATATAAATTGGTTTCCTTAATGCAGAGGACATCAACATTGTGTTCATATATGAATTTTTGCAGTTCAAGCTTTTTCATCATGACCCCTTCTGCATTCCACTGCATTATCTTTAGTGTTTTGGTATTTTTTTGGCCAGACGCATTACTCTGCTTAATCCTGGTCCGCCAGTGCGCAGAGCTACCATCAGTAGTTTGGGGTGGATCCCTTCATGGCTTGGAATCTGGCGCTGTTCCCGCCTGGCGGTAGTCCACAGGAGCAGCCCCATAACGACGTAGATATCTAAGCATACTTATTAACCGTAGATTGCATTGATGTCCGTTTCCATTTCTGTGTGCCCACGCCGTATTTTACCCTTTCAGGAATCCAGGGTCAATTTTCTTAGCGATGGAGACTCCCTATGTACCAGAGTCGTGTCTATTACAACAGGTAGCACCACGTGTAGGTACGGTTGACTTGATAGGCAGAGACAATGAGTTACACGCAGGCATTTCCCATTTTTTAAGTGGGACCTGTACATATCAGTCCTTGCTACCTGTCTTGGTTGTACACTTTCTGAGATGCTGTGTGTACATCTCTTGAAAACAATTAAAAAGAAGCTTAAATGTGTTCATTTCAGATAACTGACACTGAAAGTTCTGCCACTGGTCTGTCGTATGATGTTATCAGCATTCTATGAGTTGGAAGTGGAACCTAAAACATAGCCTACAGTTAAGAAGCCTAACCTTTTTCTTGTTTCTTGTACCAAAATCTGGCATTATGGCTTGGAGATCCAGTGGAAGTAACAATACGAATCTTGTGGAAAATTTGGCAAGTATGTTAATAAAATTTGTTTGATTTTTCTACTCTTCTGCTTTATATATTATATTCAGAAGTACCGTTATTTTCCAACCATTTTTACCTGAACAAGACTAAAGCAATACCAGCATACATTTTGATGTAGTCATCTTACAGATTCGATAATTATAACTTTTTTATTTTTTTTATTTAGGATACTACACTTGAAATCACAGTGATTTTCAAATCTGTAGATGGCGACTTGGAGGAAAAAGTCAGTCATTCACTCAGCCATTATATTCCCAGTTGAGATATTGCAATTGTATCCACTTCTCATACTTTATAAATTGCTTGGCAGATTTTTCAGTTAAAGGAAAGTTTAAAAAACAACAACAAAAACTGGTATCTTCACATTTGGAATGTTATAATTTAAATGTACTGATTTCTTAAATTTGCCTTTGCCCAGTTATGCAGACCAAAAATTGTGTTCCTGAACCTGTATTTGTCCTGGTGAAACAAGTATTTACTTTTGAGTGTAGTTTATTTTGTATTTCATTTAGAAGGATTCATTTGTTGGCTTCTTTGTGTTCATTCCTGTGCACGCTGCACCTGACAGGATACAGCAAAATATGTCAGGCAATTAATTGTTCCACCTCTCAGTTGTGTCTTCCTAATGGCACAGTCATACAGAGGTAGCCCGTTTCTGACCTTTACAAATTTTTGATGGCATGACATCTTTTGGCAGTGGCCAGTATGCCTATATAAAGCGTTAGTACTGGCTAACTGATGTTCAACCCTGATCAGGACTGCACAACGAGTGATAAACATCCAGTGACACAAAGTGCCACCTTTCGGATGAGAATCATCTGGGCGCAAGTCCCAGAAACCTTGTTAAACCCGTAGTTTATGTTTAGGACCCCTAACTACAGCCTGGGTGTGGCTTTGAAATAACAAAATGTTGTGTCCAACATTGGGACAGGGATGTCTCTTATTAATACTGGTTGCAGCTGCATATTGTGTAAACAAGGTGGGTATGTTTATATTCACACACACACACAATGTTTTTGAGATATTATTTAGGGTGAATAAAATAGATTTTCTTTTTATTGTGACGCTATAATAAACTTATGATGAGGTCACTTTGCTCTCTGTGGCTGTGTCAATAAAAACCCTTGTTTTCTTGGTCAAAGGGAAGGAAACCAGTTATCTCATGGCTCAGTTCATATTTAGTGAGTATTTCCCTTTATTGGGTGGGTCGCCGTGGCCGAGCGGCTAGACGCTCGCTGCGGATCGGAAGGTCGTGGGTGCGCTCCCTGGCGGAGCCGGACTATTTTCAAAAATGACCTTGGCTCCCAGGTCAACCCAGCCTTGAGTGAGTACCGGGTGCAGTCCCGGGAAGTAAAGGCGGCCGGCGTGATGCTGACCACATCACCCATCTTGTGCCGATTGGTCTATAAAAATATAGGTCTAGCCCTATATGTTCTATACGCCCAAAGGCGTGGAAAAGGGTCCTTTACTTACTTTCTTTACTTATTTCCCTTAATTTTAAAAATCACCATTGCAGTTCTTTTTCATTGGGGATTGTGATGACGCAGTAGCTAGCAGGTCTGCCAGTCTGCTTGATGGTCATAGGTTTCAACCTCCTGAATATTAAAAAAACTGACCAAGACAGATTTCTTCAGTTTCTTCACTTCCTCTAGTTTTTAGAACATTATAATGATACTTTTTTTCTAAAGTTCTCAAAAGGGGTATTTAAAAGATTTTTGTGGGACGAAAGAGTTGAGTATTGTTTAAATGCATAATAATAATTATAATAATAAATATTGTTTAAATTATTTTTTATTATTATCATGTGTTGAATTGCAAATAAATATGTTCAGAATAATAGGAAGTGTATTAACAGATACTTGAAAGATACATTCTATGCGTGGTTGGGATGGGAATGGGGGGATGGGAATGGGGGGAGAGAATAATACAGTTTTTTTGTGTGGGATTGTGGGCAGTGTGCCTGAGCCCTCACCTTCAGGTGCCCCTGGTCTAGCACCATATAATCAGCATGTCAGGAGGCATGATGAAATGTCCTTTGCTTAATTTTTTTCACTGTTAGCCAGTTTTTGTTAATTTATTAAATCAGCCGAACAGTATCTTAAGATAACTTTATTCGATGGTATCTGTGGTTTCATCATAGATTTTTATATGTGTGCGTTTTATTCTCAGGAAATGGAATCATCAAAAATGAAAGGGTCATGAGTGCTATGAAGAAGGTGGACAGGGGACATTTTGTTAAAGTAAATCCATACGCTGATTCTCCTCAGAGCATTGGTTATGCAGTCACAATCAGTGCCCCTCATATGGTAACTTTTTTTTTTCTAAACGCAAATGTTGTCAAGACTGCATGTTTTTGTAAGCATTTATGTGAATGTGTGGTCCTGTTCATGTTTCTAGGCCCAGGATTATAGTAACTTCCCTTACCATTCATGTCTCCTTAGGTAGCTAGACCTCTGCTAAGGTGTTATGATGTGGCTTGGTTTGGCGTATATGTTTGTGGGAGGATGTGTGGTTGTGAGTCTATTTGAGGCGCTTGTGTGCAAGTAAGATGTATTGCAGGGGGAAGCCCAGCAGTCATGCAGATTCTTGGATATCGAAACTGGGATATTTTTGTATTTCTACATTCAATGGCAATGGATTTCCCCTTAGAGAAAGAAAGCAGTTATAAGGAGCGTAGGAATAGAAAAATATTGCTGTTTCCTTACTCTTAAACCATCACGAAGGTAGCAGAAAATGAAAATAATCACGCAGGCGAGCGATAAGAAGGCGAGAAAAGAGGCAACAATTGAACCATAAGGAAAACATTACTACCCCGCAACATAGGAAAAGACCAGCGACCTAAGGAGGCATGAATAGCAAGGAAAGTAACTCTAATCCTGGGCCTGGAAACATGAACAGCACCGAATGTGTATATGTGTTTTATGTTTTTTATTGGTTATTATTATTATCCGAGTTTTCGTTCCAGGTCAAAATGCATCTGCCTGAGAGATGAAGAATCAACAGTCTGCATACTGATATGCCTAATCTGTAAAATAGATATGCACACAAAATGTTTGTTCTTTAACAAGACCAAGGTCCAGAAGTGGCGAATAACCAGAACTTTTTATCAAAGTTTATAGCTGATCAACATGAAGAAGAAGAAGAACAAGGATGAGCAACCAGAACTTTCTGCCAGAGTTTAATGGCTGTGAACATGAACTAGAAAAAGAAGAATAAAATTAAATCGGGTACTAGATTAGAATATTTAGCATTCATGTCAGATTAGTTATAACTATTGTGTGGAGCTGAAACTATTACTAAGAAAAATAAATTAAAAAAAGATAAAGGACCCTTTTCCATGTCTTCATGCATATTGGGCATATAGGGCTAGCCCTTTATTTTATAGACCAATTGGCACTCGGTGGGTGATATGGTCATCATCATGCCTGTTATTAATAATCTAAAAGTTTAAAGTTGAGAGGATCTGTTTCATAGCATCAGATTTTAGCCCAAAGAGCTCAGACTCACTTTGCAGAACAGCTAGCCGCCTGTCGAGAACGAGAACTTCACATAAGTTATGAACTCCATAGCCCCAGCCATAGTCTGCACAGATCTCATGAACAGAACCACACAGTCCATGAAAGAAACCCATGGCCTCCAGAGCGTGAGGCAAATGGCTTGATCACTTCACCGCGGAGACTCCATATATTAGTAAATTACAAATATGCATTAACTGGTGCCTGTACAGATTAGAAAGTATTAAATCGTGACAGCATCTGTACTGTGGAGCCTTGGAAGAAAGCTAAACAAATTCAGTTAAATAATCAAAAGGTAAGTAAAAGCTACTGTCATTGCAAAGAACACACAAAACAATATAAGTATATGTTGTTGCACTGAAATCCACAGTGTCAGTGGAATAAAGGCAGCCCAAAAAGACACAGGAAGGGAATTTAAAATGTGAGCGTAAAATATGGTTAGGACATTGGTTGAACTGCACAGGATAGCTAGTGATAGGACAACTGGGCAAAAGTTGGTTGGGGACCTGTGTTTCATATTAACCGTAGCTAGTGATAGGACAACTGGGCAAGAGTTGGTTGGGGACCTATGTTTCATATTAACCGTAGCTAGTGATAGGACAACTGAGCAAGAGTTGGTTGAGGACCTATGTTTCATATTAACCGTAGCTAGCAATAGGACAACTGAGCAAGAGTTGGTTGAGGACCTATGTTTCATATTAACCGTAGCTAGCAATAGGACAACTGAGCAAGAGTTGGTTGAGGACCTATGTTTCATATTAACCGTAGCTAGCAATAGGACAACTGAGCAAGAGTTGGTTGAGGACCTATGTTTCATATTAACCGTAGCTAGCGATAGGACAACTGAGCAAGAGTTGGTTGAGGACCTATGTTTCATATTAACCGTAGCTAGCAATAGGACAACTGAGCAAGAGTTGGTTGAGGACCTATGTTTCATATTAAATGTAGCTAGTGATAGGACAACTGGGAAAGAGTTGGTTGAGGACCTATGTTTCATATTAACCGTAGCTAGCGATAGGACAACTGAGCAAGAGTTGGTTGAGGACCTATGTTTCATATTAAACGTAGCTAGCGATACGACAACTGAGCAAGAGTTGGTTGAGGACCTATGTTTCATTTTAACCGTAGCTAGCGATAGGACAACTGAGCAAGAGTTGGTTGAGAACCTATGTTTCATATAAACCGTAGCTAGCGATAGGACAACTGAGCAAGAGTTGGTTGAGGACCTATATTTCATATTAACTGTATCTAGTGATAGGACAACTGAGCAAGAGTTGGTTGAGGACCTATGTTTCAAATTCACCTGAGACTTTGCTGGATATGTTGAAAGGGCAATCTTCCCTGTGTTGGTTCTGGGGCCCCATTTTGGGAAGATGAGAATAGACCCACTGCCGCCCCAACAAGCGTGTCGTAAGAGTTTATTAATTGGGTGCTTTCTGCAAAATCTAAGTGCATCTGCCTGAAAGGCAAAAATCCGACAATCTGCATGCAAATAAGTTAGATCTGTAATACAGATGTGCACACAACACTTAGGTTCTGGAACAAGACTAAAGTTCAGAGGTGGACAAGCAACCAGAACGTTCCCCCAGCGAACGCGACAAAGAAGGAAAATGGAAATCTGAGCACCAATGGAGGGTCCGGAATGTCATGAAGATAACCCAACTCATAGTAAGTAAAGGACCCTCTTCCATGCCATTAGGCACAAAGGTCAAATAGGGCTAGACCTGTAGTTTATAGATCAATTGAGACGTGGTGGGTGCTATGGTCAGCATCACGCCAGTCGCCTTTACTTCCAAGGATTGCACTTGGTGCCCACTCAAAGCTGGGTCAACCTGGGAGCCCAGGACATTTTTGAAAATCAGGACCCAAATCCACGACCTTCTAATCTGCAGGCGAGCATCTAGCTGCTACACCACAGTGACTCCTACCCAACTCTGACTGGTGGATAAATGGCAGTATAAAAAGCTTATTCTCTGTCATATTGTTATGAAATATATTTTGTCCTTGGATCTGTGGTGGCACAGTGGCCAGACACTTGTCTGCCAACTAGAAGGTCTTTGGTTTCAATCCACTTCAAATTGGGATTTTAAATAATTGACCTTAGCTTTTAGGTTGATCCAGCCAAAAGTCTGTACCAAGAAGTGCCATGGGAAGTAAAGGCAGCAAACCACATCACCAATTGAATGCTGATCAGCCACTGACATGAAAAAAGTTAATTTGCTGACCTCATCTTCTGTATTTCAGCATGCCCATGCCCTGGAACTGCTGGCAGATCACTTGGTTGAGGGAAGCAAGGCTCTGGATGTTGGCTCTGGGAGTGGATACCTCACAGCATGCATGGCCTACCTGGTGAGCATTAGCTGGTCATTTATGTCATTGGCACAAGACAGGGTTCAGTCCACTGTGTTAATCCTTGAGTTGAGTTGATTCAAGAACCGACATCACAGCACTCGGGGCATTCCCATAAGCGCTCTGTCCCCATCCTCAGCAGCCAGTAAAGAGTTCCAGTACTATTGCTGCCAGTAGCATTCAGATTAAACGTCTGTCCTGCCTTTCCCCGAGCATCTGCCAGAACCTCTCGTCACTCCCCGCTGCATCAGTCTCACCAGACTGTATTGTGTGTTAATCATTATGCCCTAGTAACGCTGAGAAAAGGAAAAATATGTCTTGATTATTTGGGATTTAACGCAAAAGATATATTCTTAAACAACAATTTAACACATACTACTAATTTATTTTAAATGTATTTATGTATATTTATGTACATTTTGTAATTTTTTTTCAAAAGAAATATATAAAGATACATGAAGGGAATAATTAGTAAACAGAACAGGTAACAGTTAAATGGTATTCATTTCATAAAGCCTGAAAATACATTCCAAGTGACTCAATCAGTGACCTCTGCACCGAGTTTATGGGATAATTTGATGTCAGCTTGGCTAAAAAAAACCAAAAAAAACTATTTGGTTTGTAGGAAAACTCTAAATACTATTTTTAGGTAATGTATTTGTAGTGAGTTCATTTTCTCCCCATTAACTTATGCCCGACAGATGACGTCAGTAATAAATGTAAGGGGGATGTTTTGACTGACTGGGATAACACGAGATTTGTGTCTGAGTTTCATGGGAGACATCTGAAAGTCAGGTTTTATGTGAAACATGATTGTTCACGTGAACCATGAAGGTTGACTGGCAGGCTTCGTGTGAAATGCGAATTATCACGGGCCAGACACGATTTTCAACGGTGGGGAATTCGTGAGAATGAAGTTATACAGAATATTCGAGACGAACATGACAGAGATCAGAGGGCTATATAATAGTGGAGAAAGGATTGAGAGGCAGTCTCGTTTAGGCCAAGGGAATGTGTACGTGAGAAGATGAAGTCCGGAAGAATGTTGGCGTCTGCATAGCGTGATTTCCCAATGCCTACCTGGCATGAAATAGCGGCTGACGGAAACGGTGGCCAGCTGTGAATGACTGTCGTCTGGTTGGATGGAATTACTGTGTTTCGCTAAGTTGTGGGATGAATTCTACGATGTTACAAAGGTATGACTGACTGTTTAGATCATTGAAGAAGTAATCGATGAGTGATACTGTTGTGTATGAACATTTACTGACTGCAACATCAGTGAGTGAAAATAAACGGTACGTGTAACTTCTGAACGTCTGCCAGCGTCCATGTTTTCTCGTTCTTGTCAGTCGGTGAATGGAAGGATGCGGTGACTCATTCGAGCCAGCAATTAATAATAAAGAAGATCATCGCAGTATTCACTTCCTACCTCCACAACAATAGCAAAAACCTCTTTTAAGTATTCACTTTTATAATGCCTACTTTTATAATTTATATAAAATTTCCCCATATGGGTTTTGGTGCCCCATTGTGAGGAAAACAAGAATAAACCCACTGCCTGCCCAGCAAGCACATCGTAAGAGTCAACTAATTGGGAGCTTTCTTCCAAGTCAGAGTGCATCTACCCGAGTGGCAAGGAACAACCAACTGCACCCAAATAAGCCAGTAAAACAGATGTGCATGCAAAACTTAGGTCCTGGCACAAAGCCAAAGTCCAAATGGGCGAACAACCAGGACTTTCTGCCGAAGCTTACAGATGGTGAACAAAGAAGATATGTAGGTTACAATGTTTTTTTTCCAACATTCTGCAGTTTATGTTTAGTTGGTAAAATGTGTAAAATTGGCTTCAATTATCAGGTTGGAAAGACGGGCAAAGCAGTTGGTATTGATCACATCCCGGAGCTGGTTGAAGAGTCCAAAGCCAACATTGCTAAAGACATGGTGACTAGAGCTATGATGGAGTCTGGCCGTCTGGTCCTCGTCGTGGGTGATGGTCGAGAAGGATATCCGCCTGAAGCTCCCTATAATGCCATACATGTTGGGGCTGCTGCTCCAACTTTGCCTGAAGCTGTAAGTTTCCTTGTGTGATTCTGTTCTCAGATGTTCCGACTTTTTGTGCTGATGTTATTTTATGCTGAAGAACATACACTGTAAGACCACATTAACAGGTTAAACTCAGCATGTAGTAAATACAACATGAAGATCAATGTAAACAAAACCGAAACAATGCAAGTTAGTAGACATTCTGCCCCACTACACATACAGCTGAATGGTTCTGCCCTGAATCAAGTTAGGGAGTTTAAATATCTAGGATGTATGATCACAGAAGATGGTAGAATTGACAGAGAAATAGAAACCAGATGTCAGAAAGCAAGTGCACTTATATACCAATTTTCACCATCATTAAGACATCCAAGCATAACTATGAGTGCCAAGAGACAGATTATTAATAGCATATTTATTCCAACATTAAGCTACCAGTGCCAAATATGGACACTATCTAAAGCCCATATATGCAAAATTACCACCTGCGAGATGAGGTGCCTGAGAAAAGCAGCCAGCCTAACCATCCGAGATCGAGTGAATAATGAAACTATCAGGCAAATTGTGGGAACAACACCTTGTACTAGATTCATCGAGAAACAGCAGATCAAGTGGTTTGGCCATCTCGTTAGAATGCAGCAAGATCAAATACCATCACAAGCACTACTTCTCAGAAGATCAACTACAAGAGCAAGAGGACGGCCGCGGAAAACATGGATCGACAACATTAAAGACACTCTACGACTTCACGGCATGACAATAGTGGTAGCCAACGTGCACTGGATCGCAAATTATTCCTTCCCACGACGCTTTACGGCAGAAGTGGTTCATGATGTTGATGATGATGTTATTTTATGAATTTCAAATATCTGCAAGGCTGCATGAATAAACTTGAGCTAATACCTTTTTTGAAAATAGACCTGCGCGATATTTAGTTTAAAGTGAGAAAGAGTTGCACAGTTTTTGTCGACCTTATTCTCTGTCAGGTGTCCATCTAGATCCAGTGGCAGGACAAGTCCAGAAGACTAGAGATGACAAGTAAAGTATGGTTAGGAACCCGTTCTCATGCCATGAGGTGTATTAGATATACAGTGCTCGCGTTGTAGCTTTTGAGAATTAGGATTTCATTGGTATTTGGGTAGTTTAATACCAGCTGCCTTTACTTCCCATACAGTTTTCTTGACATAACAGAGTGATGTCCACCGAGAATGGTTTATTAAGAAAGAAATACTATGTTTGTGGCTTTCGGACAGTGATACTAGATCTAAGCCATTTAAAGAGATTAAGACCTCACTGTGTAATGTTCCCAAAGACTTCCAGCTGGTAACATTTTCCCATAAAAGCCACTTTCCTGACTCACTATAGAGACTTATTAACAAGACTAACAAAATTCACTGCATGTGTATCTGTGCAAACGTTCAGTGTTTTCCCATTGGGTTAAGTAAATACCAGGCGACCAGGTCACAGGGTTAAGTAAGTATCATGTTATAATTTGTTTACAGGCCACAGGAAATGTAAGCCAGTAGATTATATAGTGCATTCATTTGTATTGATTACTCCCCTTACTCTATAGAGTATTTGTTCATGTTTTGGATGATAACATTGTGACATGTAAAATTAATTTTTGTAAGTATTTTATTTTGTCTGGGAATATCTGAATGATAGAAGATACGGGAGCTTGGCTTAGTTTTTTTCTAGGTCACCTGGGTAAACGGTTTAAAGTGGCTTTTTATATTTTTCTTGAAGACCCTTACCAGTGCCACTTAGTTAACAAACTGAGCTAGGATACTCTTTGTATGATGTGAAGGACTAGATTAGAACACTGATGGATATTTCCCCAATACAGTGATGATGTTCCTTGAAAAAAAAAATAATTTTGGCTAAAGACTAAAAACTTACAATCCTCCCTAAACTTTGCCGCAAGTTTGGTCTTTAATAAACAACCCTGGCATGGACACTTCTTTGCCAGGGAGAACTGGTTCATAAACAGCATCCTCTCCCTAAAGCTGAGGTATTTTCAACATGTCAGTTGCCATGGTGATCTGCAGAGAGCGGTGATGGAAGGTGCGGTTTCTGGAAAACGAAGGAGAGGCCAACCTCTATGAAGGTGGATACGAGACACTAAAGATGAATTAGCCATGAAAGCACACAGTCTTAGATAATAGGTTACAGAAAGAGATTTTTATGCATGCCATAAAGTTAACTCTGTTGTGTTAAAGGCATGCTAATTGATTTATATACATGACCTGTTTTTTTTTTTGATTTTTTTATTTGTGAAACATAAAAAGTTAGTTATTTTAATGTTTAGTTGCTCACACAATTTATACGTTTGTGCACACAGTTGATTACGCAGCTGAAGCCAGGTGGTCGTCTGATCGTACCAGTTGGACCTGTCGGAGAGAGTCAGAGTCTTGTGCAGGTAAGAAGGCGTCATGGAATCAGGCTTAGTTTGCGATATTAAGCTGCAGCATTGGTGCCTTTCAGTTTAACACATCTGATTTCAGCAAATTAGTTCCTTTTTTTTTTTACAATATACAGACTCAAATCCACATGGTGCCTGATTTTTGTTTTCAAGCATGACCTTGCCGCCTGGATCGACCCAGCCCTAAATGAGTACCAGTTAAAGTCTTAAGAAGTGAAGGCGGCCAGCATGATGTTGATCACATCACCCATCGATTTGTCTATAAAAAATGTGAGGCTAACCTCATATATATGCTGGACTTTTTGTAAGGAGCAGTGGGTTTGTACCCCTTCCCCAATAAAATGGGGTCCTAGAAACCACATTAGGATGGTGGAAAATGATCAGCAGATTTAGCAGTAGAATAATTCTTCATTAGCTACTGAAAGAAGAAGGTGAAGCATGTGAGTGTGGGCATGTTCCGAGTTTAGTATTTTTAATTCTTGAATCATTAATTCCTGTGTGGGTTCCGGGGGGTTGGGGAAAGGGGGGGGGGGTAGACCCACTGACTCCCTAACAAGCATGCCATAAGAGTAAACTAATTAGGGTTTCCTGAGAAGTTCAAGTGCGTCTGCCTAAGAGTCAAGGAATCAACAGTTTGCATAGATGCAAGCCAGACCTATAAGATGTATGTGCACACAACACACAAGTTCTGGAATAAGACTAAAATCCAGAAGTAGATGAAGAACCAGAACTTTCTGCCAGAGTTTACAGTCGGTGAACACAAAGAAGAAGAAGAATCATTCCTTCGTTGATTCTTGATTTATTCATTTCTCACTCGTTCATGTTGTTCTGATTACAGGTGGACAAGATGGCCGATGGATCCGTTGTAAAGAAAAATCTGATGGGTGTGATTTATGTCCCCTTGACCAGCAAGGACAAGCAGTGGCCAAGGTTCAAATAAGTTTTTGGTTAGCATGCCTTCGTGTGATACTTTTCTCCTCTGAGAACAGCTACCTACCTCACTATCTGTAATGTAGATGTTAATAACACGGGACCTTACTTTATTTTCTACATTGTAGGTGTTCATAACACTAGTACTAAATCATTGTCTACATTGTAGGTGTTCATAACACTAGTATCTACCTCATTGTCTGTGTTATAGTTGTTCATAACACTAGTATCTACCTCATTGTCTGTGTTACAGCTGTTCATAACACTAGTATCTACCTCATTGTCTATGTTATAGCTGTTCATAACTCTAGTATCTACCTCATTGTCTGTGTTATAGTTGTTCATAACACTAGTATCTGCCTCATTGTCTACATTATAGCTGTTCATAACACTAGTATCTACCTCATTGTCTGTGTTATAGTTGTTAATAACACTATTATCTACCTCATTGTCAGTGTTATAGATGTTCATAACACTAGTATCTGCCTCATTGTCTGTGTTATAGCTGTTAATAACACTATTATCTACCTGTCAGTGTTATAGATGTTCATAACACTAGTATCTACCTCATTGGCTGTGTTATAGCTGTTTATAACATTAGTATTTGCCTCATTGTGTTATAGCTGTTCATAACACTAGTATCTGCCTTATTGTCTTCATTGTAGGTATTTGTAATGCTGGTATCTGCCTCATTGTCTACATTGTAGATGTACATAAAACTGCTTACATTGTAGGTGTTTATATTTCTTGAGCCTACTTCATGTTCTGCTTCTACATGTTAGTATCTACCTCTTGTTTTTGTTTACATCATAAATGCTCATGATACTAGTTAAAATAATGTTATCATTTATTTTGTTAGGAATACAGTCAGTCCTCTAAACATAAATGCCATTCTACCCAAAATCAAGTTCATGTTGAAACAAACCAATGAGGTGACCAATATCATAATACATCCCATCCCTACTAGGACCAAAATTGTGATCATGTTAATCGAGTGGTGTTCTTAAGCCAGATTTTACTTTTTTTACAAAATCTGTTTAAGACAGTACTAAATGTTCTCCTTTCAGATATATCCTGTTTAAATGCTTATTTAAAAAAAATTATTTTAAGCTTAGTTAATTTATATAACAGACGCTATTTTTATTTTTAAACTTTGACCTCCACATTTCAAACATTGTGAAACAAATTGTATATTTTCTTTGCTGTGACAAGAGGCTGTTCAAATTCTTCTTTCATTGTCATCATCTGCCTCACCTGCTAAAACATTTCCACTTGTTCCAGCTCTTCTTTTCCTCATATGACCCCCCAAAAATTACATCTTCTTTGCTTTGAAATTTATGATAAGTTGTCTTTGTGTCTTAGCCTCTTTCAAAACATTAATAATTTTGGTTGTCCACGAGTTTTTATTTATTAAGTTTTTATATAGAACCACAGCTATGAGGACTAAAGGTTTGCAAACTATCCAAGACTTATGACTATTTAAACTTCCAGTGAAGGATTTTATTTCAATAAAATGTCCTCCATTTTTATAAATACTTTTTATTCTATTCTTTATCTCTGTTATATATCTCCCATCTGATGTTAGCATTGTGCTTTCACACATTTAAATTAAATTGTCTGTGATCTGTACCTTGCAATGAATTAGTTGCCTAGCAATTAATGATTTGCTTAACAGTGAGTCATTTGCCTAGTAATGAGTCAGTTGCCTAGCGATGAGTCACTTGGCTGATGTTTGCCTTACAAAGAGTCAGTTGCCTAGCAGTGAGCCAGTTGACTAAAAATTAGTTACCTGGCAATGTGTAAAATGTTTGTCTGTAAGTCAGTTGTCTAACAGTGAGTCAGTTTGTATAGTTCCTGTTATTTAAATTGCAGAGCAGAGTTTACTCTGATAATGATTTTAACATCTTTCATTCTGTCTTATGCTGCGATGTCCAGATGATTGCATCTACAACCGTTTTATCATTGAAGAATCGAAATAGGGTTTGTTTTTTGAAATATTTGGTTGGTGTTTGATGTTTTCAATTCCAGATGGTGTGGTAGGAAAATAGGTTAAAAATGACACAAACATTGGCTTCAGAAGTCATCTGGCCATCATGACCCTTATTGCCACACAGATTAATAGACTGGACAAAATTTCAAACAAGGCAATGCATTTTATTTCCGGGGGCATTAGAGACACCTACTGCCAATCAATATGATACTTGTTAGACTTTTGCACGATGAACAACAAAATCAAACTTTCCAGGGCCACTACTGTTCTCAAGTTGAATTCGGAACAGAGACACCTCCGCTCTGAAGTATTCCAGCTCAAACAAAACCACTTCAAAGAGACAAAACTTGGATGGGTAGTACGAAGGTAGCAATCCAGCAAATTTGTCACTTTCTAGAGATTAATCTAGGTCTTCCACCTGGAGTTCTCCCCCCTCCGCCCCCCACCCACACACACACACGCACCACTCCCTCCCCCTTCCCCCTTGAAGAAGTACCAAGGGGGATGTGATTGCAGGTTTGAAAATGAGTTCATCTGTGGTTGTAAAAATCCCTAACACTAACATTTTTAAGTTTAATTATAAGTAAATATTTTTTAAAACTATTTGTGACACAGAAGCCAAGAGAGTTTTTGTTTTCATGAGAAGTTTGTACATGTACTGTTAAAAATATAATTATCATGATAAGACCTGCATTTAATTATAGAGTAAGAACACATTCTTCCTTGGGAGGGGGGGGGGGGTGCACGGGGGTCCTGCAGTATATGGAGGGGGTGGGGGCCCATGGGGTCTTTCAGTATATGGGGGGGGGGGGGTGACACCTGAGAAAGCTTGGAGACCACTGATCTAGGAAATAAATGGGTGTATTTAGTAATACAGATGGCAAAAGGAGCTTTCATAGCACTAGGGAATTTGTGGAGGTCAAAAGAAATTAAAACTAATACTAAACTAAAACATTTTAATTATAATGTCAAATCATTGTTGTATGGAGGCGGAAACATGGAGAACAACTAAGGCAGTTACAAATAAACTACAAACATTCATTAACTGGCGCCTGTGCAGATTAGAGGAAATTAAATGGGATGATAGGACCACTAATGTAAAGCTTTGGGAGATAACAAAACAAGTTCCAGTGAACTAAGAGACGAAGAAAAGAGGCTGGTATTTGATAGGACACATGTTGAGAAAGCCTGAGAACAATATAACTAGAAATGTCTTTGTATAAGAATCCACAGGGGCATAGAAATAAATGAAGACCCAAAAAACACACCAGGAAAGAAGCTGTAGAGTGGAGTTGAAAAGTTAGGGAGGTCATGGGGAGAGTTGCATGCGATAGCAAAGGATAGAATGATTGGCATGAGTTGGTTGAGGGCCTATGCTCCATTTAGGGTTTGAAAGGCAAAAGAAGAAGAATAGTGAACATTTCAGTCAAAACTCTGATCGATGATAATACACATGTAAGTTCTCTATCAGTTTTTGTGTGTGTGTGGCTTTGCTCCATTCCAGTCGGGGACTGTCAGATGTTGTCTTCCCAGCGAACCCTGGGTCGTCCTGGAGGTCTGAAACTTGGCCTCCCATGCTTGGCCATGGTGGTTGATTCTTTCCCATTCTGCATGCATGTTCGAATCATCATATCTGTGACTGGTACGCTGAAGTCGTTAACAGTTGGGTTTCAAAATCATGACATATTGTCTGGTTGCGAACTTTGTCCCTTCTTGTTCATTTGGACCACCTTTCTCACATGCCTCATTCCTGAGACCTGAAGCTGGTTCTTTGAGCTGTTTTCATTGTAATTACACTCACACCTGTAGGTGAACTATATATTTCCTTTGAATCATAAATTCCTAAATATCTATTTAATGTGTATCTTTATTGTGACATTCTAATTTGTGTTCTTTTATATCACAAGAAAGAGTTGCATTCAATCTTGTCTTTCACATATATTATTTCCTGCTGTCAGCACCTAAAGAGTCTGTAGCTAGAAGTATATTTCAGAAAGACTCAGTAATTACTACACATTTCTATATCTGTATCAGTTTTTTTTTTTGGGGGGGGGGGGGGGGGGGGGGAGTTTATCACAAGTGTTAAATAATGATTGAGTGATAAGTTGAATTAAAATAATAATATAATATGTACATTAAGGTTGAAAAATAATAAAATATATTTACAACTGCTGTTGTAATTTTTTCTATGGCTGTTTACTGACTTTTAGTATGAATTTATGTTACCTTTTGTTATGCTTTGTTAAAGATCAATATTTTTATGTGCATGTTCTGCTAGAATTAACACTGTTTTATATGTTTCTGTGTGTTTATTTAGTTATGTATTTGAGTATTATTGTTGCTCCCACCATTGTTTGTGTGCACATACATTATGACATATTATAAATTATGAAACCTACGCAGTAATATCACCCAGACACTAGTTGTTGTTTTTTTTTTTTTTTTTTGGTTGCCTTTCAGCGCATCGGGCATATGGGCAGAGCGTCCCATATTTTTACAAACCATCAGCACTCTGTGGGTAATGTGGTCAGCATTACGCCGGCTGTCTTTACTTTCCCAGGACAGCCCATCCTGGTACCCATTTTTAGGCTGGGTCGACCTGCGACGTCCCATACCACGACAAAAATCCACGCAGACACTAGTGTACATGCACATTACTTTAAATAACCTGAAAATTATGAATTTATTTGTAACTTTAAGAATTGACATCGTAGCACTCGAGGCACACCTTTAGAAGCTCTGTCTCAAATATAAAATGTCGTACGATGTCGATGCTTCTTTTCTTCTGTGTTTACCCTTTAAAGGACAGTTGGCACACGGCTTGCCAGATATTCTGTTTTCTCGAAGTTCCTCAATTTTTTTCCCCAACTTTTGTTTCTGTGGAGTAAATTTAGAATATTGATTGTGTATATTTTATAGCTTATCAGTATCGAAAGTGTTGTTATAAACAAGAATTGAGTCGTCACTCCGTTTTTATTGTACAAATTCCAGCAACCCCTTGTTGGCACGGCACCTTGTGTTGTGGATTGCAACTAAGGGGGTGATATCTATACCTTTAAGCCCAACAAATCTGAATTCATCACACCCTTTATTCGATCCCTTTTATGATTTGTTTGCTAATGAGCATTGGATCTGTTCTCTCTCCCTCCCCTCTCCCCCTTCCTCCCCCCCCCTCCCAAATTTGGTCCCTGGAACCCACAACGGGAAAGTGTAGATGCTAATTGTTTCTGCAGAAGAATGGTTGTAAACATACTATACCATTCCCATGGAACACCCCTTCTTCCTGGACCTTTTTCAGAAGGTCATGGGTTCAAATCCGAACGGTGCTGAACTTTTTTCTTCAAAAATGTACCTTGACTCTCAAGTTGACCCAGCCTTAAATGGGTACCAGATGAATTCCTGGGAAGTAAAGGTGGCTAGGGTCATACTGACTACATCACCCACCAAGTGCTCATTGTTCTGTAAAATTTAGGTTTAGCCCTATATGCCCAGAACGCCTGAAGGTATGAAAAGGGTACTTTAGTATTTAGTTGCAGCTAGACTTCATCCATTATAATTGTTCCTTCTGCTGATACTTTTGCAGCCAGTAAATATACATGTTAATTGCTTCAGCCTCTGGATATGACCTAGACATATCCATATGCAGGCTACTATAACATATAAATAATAATAGAAACATGCCACAGCTGTAACAACCTTTGCTGAAGGTATCAGCATTAGAACACATTCAGGATGGACAGGGCTGAACTGCAAATGGTGGTGCACAAGGACCTCTTCATGTTCATTCTAGAAGTCAGTTCCCAGCCAAGGCCCTCCCTGGCTTAGAGTCGATGTTTCCTTCAAACAGCATGTATCGACCTTAGAGGGGAGGAACCAATAACCAATAATAGAAGAAGAAGAAGAAAAATGCATTCACTTTAACTGAGCAAAAATTTATAACTTTTATGGGTTTTTTTTTTTAAATTGTTATTGTTTAAAAATTTGAAAATCTGGACACAAACAATAAATTGCAGTTTGTTGCTTGATATATTTCACTGTATCTCAACATGTTTATTACTACAGAATTTATATCAACATTTAATAAACACTAAAATAAATTGTTGGCAAAACAAAAAATGTAATCTCAAATAAAGGCTGTTTGTTTCATGGCTCATTAAAAAATATGCTATTCAGCTATATAATTTATGATGTTTATGTGTGACAGAGCTTTGAAGATAGCTGTTCTTGTCATTATGATCATTCCTCATCGTCATAATTAAGTCCATTGCTGACAGAGGATCATGCTTCTCTACAACCTATGATTTCTGCGTGTTTCACTTCCTGAACTGGCACTTCCATGCCATGACAAAAGGTTGTCAGGAATCTCACACTGTCCGTCTGTCTTTTTCCATAAATTTTGCCAGTGGTCAAAACCTGTTCCAGTCTCTTTCTTCTCATGTGTGCCAAAACATATTGACTGTCTCTTTCTTATTTTTGTCATACGTTGTCTCCATATCCTTGCCTCCCTCAATGCATCCAGTTATTCATTTTTGCTGCCCAAAGGAATTTTTAACCATCTTCTCTATAACCACATCTCTGAGGTCTCTGCAAATTTTTTTTTTCTTTTCTTGGCTTGTGCACTAAATGTCCAACATTCACAGCCATATGTTATTCTTTCCATCCCAGAAATGCCCCAAAATTCTTTAAAAAAAAATTTGTTTCAACACAGGTAGCTAATACATGTTTTTAATGTCTCTACATGTTTTAGTGTTTGTTTCCCCCAAAATATATAAAGAAAGCAATCTGTAAACAGGAACAGAGTGAAGCATTAAATGAAATACTTTCCCTGAGGCCTGAAAGGAAATATCTATCACGTGACTCATGTCACAACCTCTAACATTGAGGCTATATTTTATTCACACACGCACACCCTCACCTTCCTCATGCTATTTTTAGTAAATATAGTAATGTCTGGGCCTCCTAAACACTGCACAGGTGCATACACAACCAGTGCATTTAATGAGATTTCTCAGAAACAGGAAACTGCAGAAATGTTGATTGAGTGGCATTTACAATGGTGTGGCACAAAATGTTAGTGTTGAGATATCGTCTTTTTGAGGCAAAACAGTTCAAACTAGTTCCAGTCTTAGATTAGTTGTTTGTGATTAGACCTATAGAGATAACTTTTCTTACTCTAATTTTCTGTCCACAGGAAGAAGTTTGAGTTGTGAGCACTGAACTGACAAAAATGGCTTCGAATTGACTTAGATGTTTCCAGAATCAGTGGTCAGTTTTGGACATCGACAACCTGCAGGATATTTACCATGTGTTTACCATTTATGGATACTTCTTTGAGTGCTACTGTTCTACCATGTTGAGATTTGTTTCTAACCTCCCAGCTTGTGCTTATTTGTTTTAGACAGTTGTTTAGTTTGTAAAAATCACACCCCGTGAATTGAACTTATCATTATTTACATTTATGGTCAGTTTGCTTACAGTTAATTATAAATGGTCAGTTTGCTTAATTCATTGTACATTTACCAAAAGGCAAAGCAAGCATGTGAAGGTTATAAAAAGACAACAGCAATGAAAATGGAAAACAAAAATGCAGTACTTAGGACCAAAAACTTATGTTGCAGTTTCAGAAGGTTTAGGCTGATGCCGGTGTGTGTGTGTGTGTGTGGGGTGGGGGGGGGGGGGATAAAAAGTAGTGAGGTGCACAATAGTAATACTTTCATGTACACCTTTATTTTCAAAATACTTGTCCTGGCATTTTTCGCAAGCAGGCCTTTGCTCTTGAGGTCTTCAGCGGGCCTTATAGTTAATCATACAGAGTTTGCTGTGGTACTCTGTATTTGCAAGTTGCAGAGTTAGTGACACCTTAGCAGTGTGTTCTTAATGTTATGTGTCACAAGTCACATTGCACATGAATTGCATTATTCGACACTAATTATAAAAGCACCAAAAATTGACATTTTATTATGTTTTTTTAGCCGTACTGGGTTAAACTTTTAAAAATTCATTAGTGAATTGTGGTCTAATGCAGTTAAGTCTGGTTGTCACTCCAGCAAATGTACAAAAGAATTAGGGGTTTTTGAAATTGCATGTTTTTTAAAACCACGGCAGGTACACAAAAAATAATAACTGTACACTAGACGGCAATACACACTTGAACACACTTTAAAAATAAACCAACAAAATTAGATTACTGCAAATGAAAAATCTATCATCTGAACAGCAATTAATATTCAGCGCACCATATCACCCTTGATGGATCCTAGTTCCAAAACCTTAAAAACCAAGTAGATATTGATGCTTTGCCTTGATGCCTGATAGTAGAGTGGTGACTATCTTTTATCCTTCTCATACCTATGGTGATTTGGCTTCTTGCAGGGCACTCCTGATGTTTTTAACAACAGTACTGACAACTATACTGGCACTGGGACCTCTTAGAAAAATATGTCACTGGGAAGGCTAAAAGGGTCAGGAAATACATAAAGAAGTGGAATGTTTTAGCCAAAAGGTGCAGATGTCACAGCTCTGTTTCCAATACAAACACAAATTATAAGACAGAGTAACGCTTTCATAAGACACACTTGTGGAAGTCAAACTTTCGCTTAGTCATTAAATAGACTAAAATTCATACTAGAAAGCTTTGCCCTGACAATTACCCGAAAGTATTTACTAGTCTAGTAGATCTATCACAAATTCTGAATGAAACTGCTCTTACTAGTCTAGAGAACTGAATGTATGCTCTTTATTTAATAAGTAGTATACTTTTTTTTTTGTGTGCATCTTTGACTTATTTACCATAACTCTTCTTTCACATCAGTCTGTTCATATTATTATGTAAAGTGATATCTCTGTAAGTATCTTTATTTAACATTCATCTTTCGCATGTTGACAGTGTTCCGGTTTATTGCACTTTAATTTTATCTGTGTGTTACTGGCTTGACTGTTGTTGTTTTTTTTTAAATATTTTTGTCCTCTAGCCACTCTGCTCTCAGAACAGACAATTAGTAAAAAAAATTGTTAAACACTATATTACCGCTGTTCAGAAAATGCAGTGTGTGTATATATTGCTTATGATGGTGTAAATATAATCTGGTGATAAATTGCCCTGGAGCACACAATAATAACATGGGATATGGAATTAGTCAGTGACATTTAAAAGATGGGGGTGAGCTGTAAACAAAAGTTAAGGCAACTAGGCGTCAGCTGGTTAAAGGTCTATACTCCACTATAGGGTTAAGAGTAGAATAAGGGTACTGACAACACTTTGCAGCAGCTAAAATTATAATTAGATATTATTAACAAAACAATGTTAGAATAATTTGTGACAACAAAAAAGCAAGTAAGTAAAAATTACAGTGTAAGGTAAATTTTCTGACAAAAGAAAAATAAATGTATAGTATTGATATGTATGTCGGCTCTGTGGCTAAGTTGATGCGAACGCTTCGTAATGCCGGGAGGTTGGGTATCAAGAAAGCCGACTGTCCAGAAATCAATGGACGTAAATTTGCCTAGAAAAACCACACAATAGCCAGGGGCTGTTAGGGTTGGTTCTGCAACGTCCTGTAAAGGATACGCAACTAACCTTATTATTGATATTTATAAGCTTTTATTAGGTTTTCTGTTGTTTAATTTAGGTGTGGATCAGTTTCAGGAGTGGAAGCCAAAATAAAAAATTTTCAGACTTTTTTGTTTGTTTCTTCAAAATTATTTTGTGTGTCTGATTGTACTCATTTTGATTTCCCTCAAAAGTATATTCTGTATTCATTATATGTACTTCAGAAATCTGGAGATAATGCCATGATTCAGCAGACTACTGATCTCTTCATTAACTTATGCATTATGTAACTTAGTTATCCATTTAATTTGTACATATATTTTAAACTGCTTGTGGCAAATTTTATAATAATTTCTTTTGTGTAAAAACAAAATCACTCCAACATGATAAAACTTGTTTTTCAAAATGTACAGGAATGTATCTATTACTTTCATAGCATATAAAATAAAATAATAAACTCGGAAGACACAATAAAATTAAACAATTTGTTAGTCTGTTATTAGACTTTACAGCACAATTAACTGGCAGGCAGATCTAATACTAGACATCACTGCAGAATTAGTTGACTTTTTCTTCTTCAGAATTTTCTTCACAACAGATTGATGTATTTTTTCTGATTTTTAAGTTATGTCATGACAGAAATTCTGCTTGCAATATATTAACATCTGACATTTATTAATAAACTCTCTCTCTCTCTCTCTCTCTCTCTCTCTCTCTCTCTCTCTCTCTCTCTCTCTCTCTCTCTCTCTCTCTCTCTCTCTCTCTCTCTCACTGTCTCTATCTCTCCCTCTCTCTCTCTCTCTCTCTCTCACTGTCTCTATATCTCCCTCTCTCTCTCTATGTATGTCTCTCTCTCTATATGTGTGTATGTGTCTTATCTCCCTATATACCACTCTTTGCTCTGTCTTTCACACAGAAAGATTAATTAGTTGAAGCAAAATGAGAAGTCTTGTATTGTTTACATACTCTTGCACGTACTGAAAACAGGATCTTATTTCACTGATTGCATCATTTTGTTAACAAATTCAGTTTTTAACAGATATTTTCAGGATTTGTCACTTGAGCTACAGAATTCATGCCTTGTGGGATGTGACACTCTCGCCAGGCATAAAGTTATTCTGCAGGTAAAGACTAAACCACATGGGATAAAACCTGGTTCATTAAACCCAGTTCTCTCGACTTTAAATTTTATGTTTTTATTCTTTTTATGGTATTTCATGCAGAAGTTCTGTTTAGTGTGTCTTTAACTCTTTGAGTCCCAGGGGGTTTAGCATCAGAGGCCAAAGGGGTAGTCAAGAGAAATATAAAATCAGCGCATCTTGCGTTCATTGGGCCTCTAGGCGGAACCTATGTACCTATGATGCGTTCCTTGGGACTCCGAGAGTTAAGGATCTTGTCCTGCTTTAAAACAAAAATTGTATATTTCCTTATACTGCGGTGGTCAGCATTGTTACAGTTTGCTCACTTAAATTTAAATGTACTGACAGCATGCAAACATTTGTGTGCTTAATTTCCCTTTCTCTGAGGTGGAAACAAATAGGAAATCCAATTTGTTTTAATTTACAGTACATGCAATATAATGTAGTCGTCAGATATGTTTTTGTTCACAGCTTCTGTTAAAGTTGCTTGCAGTAAATAATAATACAATAACCAGTTATTTTGGTTTGATTCTTAAGCGATATGGCTTCAGTTTCTGCCAGAGGATTTTGAGCTGAATAAAGTTTTGGTTTGCCACAAATGTTGGAAAAGTATTCAAGTTTTATTTCCATAATTAATTAAGAAGGTCAGAATCTATACAACTGTCCTCTGTGGTGAATTACGGATTAGTAGAAGATCGGGTCTGCCACTACACTATAATGATATGTACAGGCAGAACTTGAAGGATACAGGTGTTGACTGCATGGGTCAGTGCCCAGCTGTGGGGGGGGGGGGGGGGGGACAAACACAGATCTATTACCCCTTAACAAACATGCCAAAGTAGGCGTCTACAGTGCTACAATTTGGTGTTATGACAGTAAACTTATTTGGAAGCTGCGGAGATGTGGTTTTATAGCCGAATGATGAGAATACTCTGGACAGATAAGAAGAGTAAGGAAGATATCTTAAAAGAAACTCACAAAGAGAACTGATTGCCGAACATCAGAAAGAGACTGTCTAAATTTTTTGGGCCATTTGATGAGAAGGAGAAAACTGGAGTACATTGTAGCAGTAGGAAATTTGGAAGGGAGGAGAAACGAGGGAGACCTAGAGAAAAGATGCTTGACAGTTTGACAGCATGGCATGGAAGGTGGTCTGTGTCAGAGCTGATTAAAAGAACATGAGACAGAAGGTTGTGGATAGACATGACTACCAGCGCCACACGGCATGTATTTTAAGAAGCAGAAGTTGACAGCTCAGTGTGTCGACCGTTGTTTTATGGGTAAACATAAAAGAAAAAGATACAAGTGTTGTGATGAGTTCGTGGAATTAAGTTGCCAGGATTTCCTGTTGCATGGAGGCTAAAAAGAATCAGTTGTGAAGAATGTAAAGAAGGACCATATTCCACATCATTAGTTGTATTGCAAGCCTATATATTTTATAGACCAATCGGTACTGTGCAGTCAACATCACGCCGACCTGCCTTTTGTTTCAAGGACTTCAGATTCTTACCCTCCAGGCTGG